AAGTTATAAGATGCTACTGTTTAGTATACTTATTTAGATGTACCCTTTAGCACAGATTTTCATGTGAATTGTGTGTGATGTTTTTAAATCACAGGTTGCTGGAGAAAAGGGATGGAACAAACCTGTCAGTGAAGAAAGGCAACAGTGACATGGATCAGAAACAGACTGGTGTATCCACAAAGGGGAATGAGTCTAGGTGTTGAATCTTCTGAACCAGAATAGCTTTTCTTAAAAGCAACAGCCCAGAAATACTGCATATGGAGCAGGAGCAGAATTTACGAACAGCGATTACAGGTTTATGGCTACATGCTTACCTAAGGGCAAAATGTGTTTTTCTTTTCCCCCCCATGATAATCAAGAGCACAGATGATGCAAAGGAAGGTCTGTGAATGTTGATTCGGTGTTGATTTGTGTGAGAGAGTGTGAACTTGACAAATAGTTTTTGAAAGGGTATGCTCAAGCCCAGTGGGTCACATGGGAGGCGACACGCAGACTCCGAAAGAGCCTCTCGCATCTGGCGCTGTTGGCAGGGAGAAGAGGGCCGGGTGAGCACGAAAGGTCAGCTGCAAGCAAGAGTGGCAGGGCACAGAGGCTGCCAAGAAGGGTGAAGTGGGGCAGCCGAAGACTGGGGTGTGAATAACAGGCAAGGAATTGTTTTGGCAGCAAACTCTTGGAGAGGCAGGAAGGAAACCAGTTTTTATTTTTTGGTCGCTGGACTTCCTCTTTTCCTTAGCATGCAACTTTCACAAAAAGGTACTAATAAATAAATAAAGTTTTTGGTATCCCCCTGGGGACTATGTAGCCTCTCCATTTGTTTGTTTGTTTGTTTGTTTGTTTTGGAAGGCAATAATTAGCCAGACATTTCCCACAAAATTTACTGCAGTTTTTCCCTACCTAGAGCACATTTAATGGTACATCCCTGAAACCCAGTTGGCACGAGGGACTGGGGCTGTAACTATCATGCCCAGTTATGGCTCCAGAAGATTCAAAATGACTGGAAAAAGCCCACAATGTATTGAGATAATTTGCAGAGCTCTATGGGAAAGGTGCAGAATATGTTATGCAAATTTTATTTATGTATTCATTTAATATGCTGTATTTTATCATAAACCCAAAACTGGTTTCCCTATAAGAACATCAATAAATAACCATACAATACAATTAAAACATAATATGTGATTTACGGTATTTATTAGAGACTTGTATATGCCACTTTTTATCATAAAGAATACAAGAACATCAATAAAACATCATAGAATACAATTAACAACTAATATGACATTTTAAAAAGTGTGCATAATGCATATGGATTAAATCTTGTATTCCGGAGTTCACATAAGGGGGAGAAAGAACCTAGAGTCCCTCGGCTTGGTCTGTTTCTCCATTTATCAGAAACTATGCAACTGTCAGACACTGCAGTATTTGCTAGGACAAACGTCACCCACTCCTCTCCTTTTCTACCAACATTACCACTCACGCTACTTTGCCGCTATCAGTTGTGCCCCATTTCCCCTCCATGTAATGTGGTTGCCTGGGCATTTCAGAATAATTTCTTTTTAAACAATGACAAGTACGTGTTTTTCCATGAGAAATCATTATATTTTCCTTAATCAGCAGCACTGAGGAAAAAATGTGAAATGAAAACTAAATTAACATGTCTAGCTATATAACAGAGAAGGTCTCAATAAATTAACTAGGGAAATAATATTCTTGTAAGCTGTATAACTTTTTAATTTTTGCTCAATATTCAGCTCCCTGTGAGCGACGGGTTCCCATGACAGAAACTGGTCAAATGTCTGCCCTGGAGGGGGTTGCGTTCCCCTGAAGGCCCAGTCTGGGCTGCTTCTGGATCCAGCACTGTCACCGGAGGCCCAGGGAGCCCCAGTGGGTAGCAGTGCCTTTGGCCAGCTGCCACTGGTCCAGGAAAGCTGGACCACAGTAGTTCAGACACTGGTGACCTCAAGACTGGATTAGCGCAATGCACTCTAGCAGAGGCTTCGCTTGCACACGATTCAAAAGTTGCAGCATTGCTGGCAGGAGGGGGCCATGTCAGCATATCACATGTCTTCTCAGAGATCTGCAGTGCTTGCCCATTTGCTACCAGGCCAGGTTCAAGGTGTTTCTACTAGTATATAAAGCCCTTAACAACTTGGGACCAGTTTACTTGTGGGATCTCCTGACCCCATATTATTACCCCTCACTCGGCTACTTCAGTCTGTGGAACAGGGGCCACATAATGCTTGTTGTGCACTTGTAATAAAACCCTTCCGTATGGCAGCACCTTCACTGTACACTTTCTGCACCTGCTTAAAACATTTTTGGTTTAAGCAAGCCTATTTGGATATGTAGAAGTTCCATGTGTTTTATCCCTTTTGAACTAATGTCCATTTTAAATCATATTTGGAATATTTCTAAATAATTACTTTTAATTTTTTAATCATATTTGTAGGGCTTTATTTTACATATTTTTGAACTGCTTCACTTCTTCTTACAATCAAGTGTTTTTAAACAAACAATCAAAAAGATTAACATAATAATAAATAAGTACAGTTATACCTCAGGTTACAGCCGTTTCAGGTTGCGTTTTTTCAGGTTACGGACCGCCGAAACCCGGAAGTACCAGAACGGGTTACTGCCAGGTTTGGGCGGTTGTGCATGCACAGAAGCACTAAATCACAACCCGTGGACGTGCAGACATGGGTTGCGAGCACTGCGGGTTGTGAACGTGCATCCTGCACGGATCACGTTCGCAACCCAAGCGTCCACTGTACAAATAAATGTCTATGTCTGTAGTTGTGATCGGTTTGGAAGCCGATGGATGGATGGACGTCCTGTTGCTGCTACAGCAGAAGGACAGAGCTGCTTGGCTTTGCAGCCAAGAAGTTCTGCTTGCCTGTGCAGGGCAGCCTTGCTGGATCATGGCCAATACCTCAGAGATACAACACAGGTACATTAAATAGCAGTGAAAAGCAGGTCTTCTTGAAAGAACTGAAAGATGAGTCATATCCCCTGAATTCATATGAAAAGTGAATCTAATCGCAATTACCAGGGTGTGAATTGTTTTCCCTTAATTACCTGACAGTTTTGACAGATCTGTGATTTGTGTCCTTAAGCTGTCTATCTTCCAACATTAAAGTTAATTCTGCAATTAATTCAATCTTAATAGTAACCTCTGAAATGCTTATATGTGGCCTATAAGTTAATGGGGTTCTCACTAAAACAATACAGGAATTTTTAGAAGAAACACTTTTACAAAACAAGATCAGAATTTGGCTTCAAGGGTTTGCATCTCGTTTTGCAAACGGCACTTTGGCAATCGTTTCTGCTTCCAAGTTTGCTGTTGCAAATGGCACCATTGACATGTATTTTCCTCTTAGAACTTCAGTAGACTTATTCACTGACACCCATTGATCCAAGACATGTTTGGCCATGATCTCTGTAGATGCACCAAACATATACGCAACACTATCAGCTTCTCATCCATCTGTTGTAGGGCAGCAGTGGGGCCTGGATGCAATCCTGTTCTCCAGCATCTAAGCAGACATATTGCCCCAAACTAAACTCTAGTGGTGTATAAAGATCTTTTTATGCAATCTGTATGATCAGATTAATCAAAACTGGGATCAAAACAGTGAAATGGTCTCATAATGCATGGTTTCAGCAGCTTATGGTACTTGTGAAAGTTGTCAGTAACACACACACAGCCATCTACCTTTAATCTATCCAACCAAAGGTAGATGACACACAAACTTCTGGGCACAATGCATTTGGCCATTACATCATGAAGGGATTAGCAGGGACTCTCGTTTTAGTGCTCCTGGAGTTTTCTGCATAAGGGAGTCTAAAATGGGAGTAAGTATGCATGATCTTATATTATTGGAAATGCAATGCCCCAGAATGAACTTTCCTCCTGATGGTTCCTAGTGAATGCTTCTCCCTATATTTCCTGAACTATCTACTGAAGAACAAGAGAAGTAGAAAAGGACCATTTTGCAGTTGAATATATCCTGACCCCATAGAGATGCCCTGAAAGGCTTGATTCCTACCCAGTTTAGAGATACCCTCTTCCCATCACAGCCTTCAAGGTAAACCTAAATAGCTTCCTGATACTATGGTATGCCAAGTTCAAAGGTCAAGGGAATGCAAGGGGGCACCATGGACTGCTTTTCTCACAGCTATGGGAAGTCATTCTTTTAGAGGTTCATCGACTTGATCCCGTAGCATAGGCTGCCTTTTGCCAACCAGGAGTGAAGCAATTTTATAATTTAACTAGTTTTTTTTGTAGATTTTCACTAGATACAGTTAAAAGCATCATGTTGTCCCTCCCAGAGGATGGGGATGGGAATGGACCAATAGATCAACTCACCTGTGACTTTCTCTATGGGACAATAATATGATGATTCTTCCTTATTAATTTGATGAGCATTTTTTCAGCATAAAGAACAACATGGAGACTCAGAACATAGCAGAGGAACACCTTTGCTGTCCACCACATTTACAGCTAACAGCATTGTCAATGTATGTTCAGTATGTTGAGAAGCTCCCTGTTGATAACAACAGAAAACCTACAAAAATGTCCATTCTATCGGGATTTTTTTTAAAAAATGTTTTCAAAAAGAAAGATGATTGCTTCCTCGAATGTGCAAATAGCTGAGATAAGAAAAGGTGGGGAGGAACCACAACAGGTATGTTCATGCCCATGAGACCTGTGACAATCGGAAACAGAAATCTGTGTTGGCCTTAATTCTCAGGACAGTCGCTATTTGCACCCGTAGCAACTTCAGTCCTTTATTAGCACTCTGGAACTCTTTTTCCAATTCTGAATTGCTATTACTCTTTTTCTTTTAGAACAGCAAGAAACGGGAAAACTGACCTTATTACAAATGGGTGACTCCCAGTGATTTTTTTCTTCTTCAGTTGGAGAGCTAAGCACATAGAATTGCAGAGTTGGAAGGGACCACCATCTGATTCCATCCCAACCCCCCTGCAACGCAGGAATCTTTTGCCCAGAGTGGGACTCAAACCCACAACCCTGAGATTCAGAATCTCATGCTCTGCCAACTGAGCCACGTGTTTAATTCTTCATTTGAAAGGAATGATGCTTCAGTGCTTAATTTTATCTGGATTGTGCCCATTGTTTTGGTGCATTTATGTAGCTATTTAATATTTCAAGATTACCTTCCCATATCCTGAAGTGTGTGGGCTGTGTTGTATGAGGCACCAGTGAAAGGGAAGCATTGCTTGAAATCAGGTGGAGGACCCTTGAACTCATTTGGTGCAAGGTTTGCCTAACTCCAGGCAACTATGCCTCCAACTGTGATGCCCACATTGTCTGGTAGATCCTCCCACAAACCTCCTGGAAAGAGTTTGCAGGAGATACTCAGCTCCTCCTCGCAGCCCAGTGCAAGGTGTTTCTGCCTGAGATGCCTTCTGCTCCTACAACATTGGACACAAGCTTCTATTTCTTCTTCTCTGCAGTAGAAAATGGCCAGCTGATTCACACATGGGAGAAAGCACACATGGGAGCATCTCCTGCATGAGGCACTTGTCACATGGAGCAGGAGTGCAGTACACAAAAGTCCTTCTAGTGAGCCTCTTTCTGATCCAGGACTGCTATTTCTTTATTATCAAGGGTATGGTGGTCTATAGAACCCCCTGCCCTGAGAACCTTCATTAATTTTGTCAATGCCCTTTTTGCTTCCTTCCATGTTCCTCAAAGTTTTTGCCAAGGCAGAAACCATGATCTTTGAAGTAAAATTCCAACAAATTGCTAAAGGTGTCATTTAACTGAAGAGTCAGCAGATGGCACTGCACTCGTGATGAAATTCTGCATATACCATATATTTAAAAGAAGGATTAGAAATCCTTGCTGTCTTTCACAGGCCTATTTGCCTCTCAACTAAGAGCTCCTTCCTTCCTTTGCACTTCATTCCCTCTTGACAAAGTTATTTTCTTGCCCATCTTTCCTTCTCCCCCCTTCATCCTGCCGCCTGTCTGCTCAGTCCAAATCCACAGGAGATACATCCCACGCCCCCAGACCCCCACCTCCCAACAGAATTCCTCATAC